CCAGTCGATATCTCTGGTCTCTGAGACATACACCAAATTTCTCGGGTCAGCGTCTCGCCACCCATCTTGAGCAGATCCTCTGTGAACGAGGATGTCGTTGATGCTTGTCCAAATGTATTGCGACTGAGCCGATAATTGTAGGGAGTTTAGCACACGATGGTCCAGTCCCGTTAAGAAGAAATATTTCCCAGTCTTTTGAGAATGCTCTGCGCATATCCTGAGAGCATCACAGAAGCTACCAGCGGTTCCGAGAAAGATCGCACATGACCCATCATTCAAAGTTGTTAGATTGCTTGCACATTCTGGTCCACAAACCAGTTCCAAGCATAAGGATATAAGCATTCCAAGTTGAAAACATTTGGTCACAGAAGGCATCATCAGTAACTGTTTGAAATTTTTTAATTATCACACCTCAGCTTATGCTAGCGCACAAATATTCATGTGCCATCCAATGAAAAATATCAATCGATTTGATTGGCCGAGTTCGTAGCTCGCAATTTGCCAACTTGTATAAATAAGAAAGCACAGTTTTAGTGTCCGACCTTGTGTCAGTATATCCAAAAATATCGATATTCAAATCAAATAACGAACCCCTAAAGTTAGGTGCTGAAATTCAATGGATACACAGCCGCCTCTCTAAGCAACAACCACTACCACATTAGGAAAGTAACATTGGCTATGTGGAAAGCAAGTTTTGACCAATTATAGTAAACTGTTCAATTGGTGACTGTGTCTTCTTCTTAACGTTTTACACCAGCTTAATGACAAAAAGAATGGGCTGTCAGCCCAACTTCATTTAATATCCTCGGGTCAAAACATCATCTGGCCACCAATTTGGTGAGAATATTTTGTCGTTATCTCCTGGAATGATCCTTCAAGAAAACTGTAACAACTGCTATTCCGCCGTTTCAAACTTACGTAGTCGGGGGCTTCCCTTTGTGTCAAACTTTTAAGTGGTTGTAGCTAGCCTAGTTAACCCCTCACAAATCTCCGGTCACTGACTTCTCACCACACATCCCTCATCCCAGTCTTGCTGGCTCACTTCACCGTCAATCACGTAATCGTTGTTACATGTATAAGCCTTTTCTCAGAAAAACAAAATAAACCTTTAATAAACTCAAGGGACCTGTTTGACATTACGGCATTCAACGTGCTTACTTTAGGTCAGATCTCGTTTCCTCTATTGATCTATATATATCCCATTTCCAGTGGACACGTAAAAGACCCCTAGTTTGTTTATTCATCCCATTCCGCTCGGGCAAATGCAGATTTTTCGAATTTTATGTTCGGGTGTCTGGTGATCCGGTTGCAGTGGCTCTTGGTAACTTCAGAGTGAGAGCCTTGCTTAGACTCAAGACCGAACGAGCTTTACTACACAAGGCCCCAAGTGAAAATCCCCTCTGAGTGCCTTGACTGACTGGTACAATCAAGATCAGTGCACCTAAACGCGGGAAGCGTTATTTGTTTGTTGTGCCAGCATGCGCCCCGACAAATGGTGACTTTGAACCTGGAGAAGACAGTTTCTTTCGGAGGCGTGTCACCGTTTCTCCGATCAGCGAGGTGTTCCGATGTTTTGATTCTGATAGGTGGTATGACTGCTTGACTGTGTCCTCGTGAAGACCGATTCGGGATTGGTGCTTATCTATTTTGGATCAGCGGAAACGCCCAGCAAAAACGCTTAGGCTTCCACACCGTCTGACTTTTAGGTCACCAAATGCAAAAACAAAACAGCCGTGGACCTAGTCGGACCATATGGCAGTCGGTTGTCGGTTTGGATTTATAAAATTTGTTTGTCGTTCATATTTTAGTACACTTCCAGATTCTGATTATGGCATCAGTTTGATTTGGGATTAGTCGAAAGGACAATCAGTTCACCAATAGCAAGGGTTTCTGTAGCTTAACAGTATCCAGGTGAGTTGGATGAGAAGCTTGCATAACTTAAATAGGTTGGTGATGATTAGGCTGATGAAAAAAATAAGCTAAAAGGAACTTCCCATTTGGATCTGTCTACATGGTGTCACTCACATACCACAGTGAGCACTGAATCCTGTCACGTTCACCAGCTCAAATTGCATACACAAAATCTTTAATAGCAAAGAGTCTGTGACGGTAGGTGTATTTACACAAAACACGAATAATGGAAAGCTGAGGGATTGACGCAGAATGCTAGTGAAATGCGAAAGCCAGGATGATGGAAAAGGGTTTTGCAACAAGAAACGGTCACACCATCTTCCAGTCAACCTAATCAACTGGTCCGCGGGGCTGTTAGGATTGAAAAACGGGCTGAACACTGAAGGACAGTTCAGGTAGGTTCTATCAGTTCACACTCTAAAAACCGACTGAATTTGAACTGGGCGTACGTATCAGTCAGACAATACCGATGGAATTCTATCGAGCGATCTCACTGCTGTTTAAATCCTGCAAAATTCGATCAAGTTTGCCAGTCGGTCCTGGCTGATTTAAAGATGCTACTGTAAAATGTCTCGAACGAGGAAAAAGATTTCCAACAGAACGGAGCTCTTTGAAGGTGATCCACATGTTCAAACAGGGTCCGGAATTTAACGAGGCATTCGTCCAGTGTCTACAGCTCCCAGGGTGTTTCCCGGTATCATCCAGCGAAAGTCAGTTTTGCGAGAATCAAGCTGAGTTTTGCCCTAATCTGGGTTACATAAATCATATCTTCACCATGCAAAAAGCGTTGAAACTGTGTCACTTTTCCGACGATCAACAATGATTACCCTCCTCGGTCCGACCGCTAAGAAAAGTGGCAGCCTCTTGTGGTGAACAGCTTTTCTTCCAAATTTCGGTCCTTTGGAAGGGAGTTACATTTCTCCCGCATGGAAGCATGCGTGCATAGGGCAAATTCTCTACCAAATTCCCCTCATCCATTCGTGTCAAGCAAAGATGTTCACTGTTATCATCAATAATATGTCGCCTGAATCTCTTTTATTCGCCTCGAATACCTCGATTATAAACGTACTCCCAGGACTTTCCCACACGGACATTCAGTACAGCGACGATATCACTCTTCTCAGGATAAACTCTTCAGAAATTCAGAATATTTTGGATAGCCTAAATAATTCTGAAGCACATTCTGGTATACGCTTTGCACCTGTGAACTGCGAAGTATTGCTGCAAGATTAAGTGGGATCAAACCTAAACCTCGTCCAAGTCTGAGGTCCGGCTTGTCTTACTTAATGGATCAGAAAATTGGGCGGTTCTTCTGGGATACCTTCAAAGGCGCTGTTTGTTTCACAATGATGGCACCCGAAGCAATGTCCGAGTTTTGTGGTAACACCTGATCGGTAAAGGTGAAGCCTGACAGATGATTTTCAGGAAAGTTCATTTTGTAGTAAAGGCAATTTCTCAGGTTAGTTCTCGGTCTGAACCTTCCAAACAAGGGTTTCCGTCAAAACAACCATCAAAGGTACACGTCGCTCAAAACCAGGTCATAAAAACATCTATAGTGGCTCGTATACAAAGTGTGTGCGGTGACAACATTCTGGGAATTCTGAGGTTTTCTGCAGGCGGCATGGGCAACCGGCATTCGGCAGATATTGGATCCTGCTTGGCGGTTGGGTTCAGAACTTCAACCAATCAGGGATCGCCTTGATGCTGGCCCGGCAAGTCATCCTATTTTCCAGCCAATCGCGTATGGGATGGAAGTCTTAACTGCAGCAGCGCCAAACTGCGAGCGACAAGCCGACGCCGGTGCGTAATGTCGCGGGATACATTCTCCCTCAGTAGATAAGCTAGTCACAATCCGCATTTTACATTGGTAAGTCCATACGCTATGTACTCCCCGGGTCCGTTCTCCACAAAAAGCTTTCTTCGCCCAGCTTTGTGGGATGCATAACACCATGACTTGACAACCAGGCGCAGAATCCCTCACTAGCCATCTGAGTCTCCTTGGTAGCTGCAATCTTACTGGACGGGAACCGCGGAACAGATTCTGCTGTTTTACACAAATAGCGGAGGTCTTGCATCGAAACGGTCACTCATACACATTCTGCAGCGCTGGTCAAATGGACCAGTTGTCGTCGATGTTCAAGCTGAACCAAAACTTTCAAAGCTTTTTTTCCATTTCGTCACTCACTTTATCCTCTGTGGACCAAGCTGAGGCAGCAAAGACCGCTGTTGCTCGATTTATGGTTTGTTGGCTAAGATGGTCCTCTGCAAACCATATATGTGGACTTAAATACTGATAGGTCACCCATGCATAATGAACGATGCTGTGACGTCCATAAAACAAAGATATTAGGTCAGGCGCTCCAAAGTATGGCATCAGTTGTTGGTTAGGATTGGGGGGTAGCGTAAGTGTCGACCTCAAATTTGGAGGGTCAGGAGACTGGTTACCTGAACTTCTGTCTACGGAAAGAACCTAATGGGATAGTGTGTAGAATTTTGCACAGCACAATTTTGTGCAATCCAACGCACCACAATAGGCTCTTCGCAACATGCTTGCAAATCGATCCCGCCGGACGTCAAAAGATATCGACATTGGTACTCTCCCACCAGAAGGTGAAGCGCACAGACAATCTTAGGTTATGGCTGTAGGAATTTTAACTTTCATTGTTGTCTCCACGTAATCGTGTATTATGAGGACAATGACAAAAGTCCTCAGCCTGCGAGAAAAAAACATTCACATACTGTAAACGATCTGCAGATGAAATTGAAACACCCTCATTGCCTGTAAATTTCGCAGGTCTGTTGGTCACTGACAAGCATGACCGATTTATCATTAAGACCGACAATGAGGATTGCAGAGACCACTTTGAGGGAAGAGGGATTATCAACAATGACTTATTGAGAGGTAGACCATTTTGATTACCTTTCTTTAGACGGATGGTTGTATTACCAAGTGCTGGATCATTGTGATTCTACAGTAGAATCTTATCCGAATTGTAGAATTTGACAGTGAATCGAAGTTAAGAGGACTTGAAACACGTGTAGCATGTATTTCTGTTCCATCTTGCAGTAAAATACTGTATTCGGTGGCATTAAAGAAACTGTTGCTTAAAAAGGGCCGCGTGGTTACGGCCAAACATCGCCTCTATCGACATGCTGGCCCCAATAAAAGGCCACTTCTGATCGGCCGATTTAAATGATTTCCCTGAAGAAGGAAGAATGAAGTAGTAGTAGAGGATATGACTTATTTATCTCGCAGTTTGTCCGAATAACAGATTGCCAGTTAGTTGTGCACCTCGCAAAGCTTACGGTCGGTTTCTTACTGGAAGCCAATTTAAATCACGGGGCGTGCATTTAAATAAGTCGGTTGCAAACTGATCTCAAGGGACGTGAGGAAAATTTGCGCACGTCTCTATTGAGGAAAGAATGTTGGAGAATTTATGATAATTTACACATTTGTATGCGCCTTTTTCAAACACAAATTTATGGACTTTTGGAAGAATGAACAACACTGAGGTAAATTATTTTCATTTTCAATAATAGGAAACACGCGTAGGGGCTACAAATATTTTCTGTATATATATGTGTGTATGCAGTTTGTGTAAGTCTGCCAGAGTCAGCATAGCCTAGTTTGAAAACTGTTACATTTTAGCTGTAGGTTCTCAGAAAACTACCCCAATAAGTTCACTTGCAAGCTAAGTTGGTGTTAACAGGATACTTAAGACGATCCAATTAGAACCACTAGTTTATTCTTCTGCTGAATGTGCTGCGCAACGACCACCTGATGTTTCTTTCTTGTATATTATTGCAGCCTTCTCAGTACGCTTCTCGAAGGCTATCAAAACGTGTGAATCAGCTGAGATTTACTTGAGTCTTCCGTTAAGACCAATTTAGTTTACAAATAAGTTTAATTCATCAACTGGGCACAAGTTAGTACGTAAGGTTGGCAAAAACTAGGGAACACCCCTATCTAAGTGGCCTCAGGAAGAGTAAAACAGATCATCGACCGTCGATAAGATATCAGTAACAAAATGGACAGTGTGTTCTCCAAAAATAGTATGCTGTTATACTATACAACTATGGAAAGGATATTCAGTGCCATTATTTGCACGTGGACTTCTGTGTACTTATGAGTAGTCTGAAAGTAAACAAGTATGACGACACTGTCACGCCAGTCATGAGTAGGGGGTTGTTTTCGAACTAGCGAACAATTCGTACATAAGTAGACTTATTGTTTTCGACAAACTGTTGGGGTGTTATATAGATGTCCTGAGTTGCATGTGTTTCTGGCACTTATTCGTTTTATTGTTGTCTATATGTCTGCATTAGCAGAATTGTGTATGCACACCCACGCGTATTAGTTTTAGTGGATCTCATCTAGTTCTGAAGGAAACTGGTCTCTGGACAACTAGATCACTGCCTGTGTTTGGAGCTGCTCGTTTCAGAAATATATTTATTAATCAAACCGAGCAAGAGATTCACGGTGCATTATAGGACTGCAAAGTTAACGGGTGTAAGGTGGACTGAGAAATTACTAGGTCAAATTATTTTGATGGAGTTTAACATGTTATTGCCATTTCTACTTGCGTGGATAATCGTCAGGTGTTGGGCGGAGGTTAGTGAAAATTGTTTGGCGACGCTACGACGGGATTTGTTCTGTGCATACAGATAAACTTGGTGTATTTGGTCCTCTGCTTTGCAGCTGCCATTCGACATTTTATGATGTCACTGACGTCGCTCCCGTCAGGTTTGAAGTTAAGGTTGATACATTCCACCTTGAAGGTCTACGTATCTCGGAATAATCGCCACACTCAACGGCGTCAAAGGTCACTCGGTTAATCCGAAATGCCACTACAGAAAATTTTCTGGATCTACTGTGCAAAGTTCTGACCAGTTAATGCTTGTATTACATGAATCCGGTAAAAAAAAACAGATTTTCCGCAGTTCAGCAGTGCTTACGAATGGTTGTTCTGTAAATGGTTTCACTGGTCATGAGTCACATCAAAATGGGAAGAAATCAAATATATCTGTTCAGTTTCTTTTCTAAACTAGGTTTATTGTTTAAGCGGAGAGGGTTAAGTAGCGCTCTGAGTACCATGTATTCATTCTCGTGACTTCCTGGTAGCTAGAAATTCGTCGGTGCAACGCACACATGAGGTCGGTTACGCAGTCGAAGTTTGAGCCCTAGTTTTAATGGCCTTTGCGAAGATTTCAGCTTATGTAGGACCTAGAGGAATTTTCATTTTAACTGCCTTAGTCGGGAAATGACAAGTGCCCTGACATCTTAGGTTGACATTCAGTGCGGATGCTCAAATCAGTCGTATGAATTGCATATGCGGTATGATGAAGTGCAAAGACTCCTCATTTACTTGCCTGTAAATGAATTCAGCTATTTCATGGAATGAAATATTGATGGGCAGCAAACTGAAAACTTAGATGAGAGGGAGCTGCTACACAGAGCCTAATTTTCTTGGTTCTTCTAACAGCTAGAAATTGTATTTGAATTTGCTACTGAACAGGTAATCAAAAACCGGTTTCAGTGCATCCAGTAATCATTTTGCCAGTTTGCGTTGTGTAGAACAAGCCTTTCTACTGCCATTTGTTTCCCTTTTTCAACCTAGTTTTCAATGGAGTCTGACGTTCTAGCCCGCATATTAAGTCCAGAATATCTTGAGAAACTGTTGTTCTATTCTTCTTAAAGTTTTTTGAGTGATTTGCACTCCCACAAAAGGGGATATATTAACAACAAGATTTGCGAGTTCCACGCAGGTTGGTTTCGGACGGCCCCGGTAGAAATAGCCATATGAGCTTACTGCTGTCGAAGTTGAAATCCAATGATTCCAAGTAAATTCATAAAAATTTTGCCGCTATCCGAATTGGAGTACATTTTAACCTCTCCTAATGAGTTGAGCAGCAAGCGTTTAAACCTACAATTAGAGGTTTCGAAAACCGTCTGTTTGATCTTTGTATGTACTTCCAATGTGATTCAGGAAAAATTTGAAGTAAGCCTCTGATGAGTGATTTATTCTCCATCTCACTGTTAAAGTTTTACTAAATTTAGAATTCCAGATACTTGAGCAAGGTTGTTTATTGTCCTACATTCACTGGCTTCCCTAAGATCCGACTCACCGAAGGCTATCCGACTGCCCCTGTAAAATTCTGTTTGATTGTTTTATGAGGGTAATGATTTTGCAGGTTTTGTGGAATCCTTAAGTGGCAAATACAATGCAGTTTAAAACGTACAGTGCTTTTTTAATCAGGCGTATATGTGGTGAGCTGGAGCAGATACGAGTAGAGATACTTTCTGGAAAATCAGGTGAAACTATCGCGGAACCCTGTCCATCCTTTTGCCACTGTGTGGACTGACTGCTTCCATCTAAGTCCAAGGAGCCAGTCGACTAAACTATCCAACGCGACCTTTGTTGTGTCGAGGCTTAGCGTTTCCATTGATATCTAGGCTCAGTAAATTTCAAACATTTGGGGCACAATTAAGTAGCCCAAAAGACACCCCCTAGTATGCTCTAGTGCCTAAACACTGAAGGAGCTTACCCTACGTGGAATGTCAGGGGTGGAAACTTTAGTAAAACAGTTGAACGAAAAAATCTCTCATATATATATATATATATATATTTATTCAAGGTAATGAGTTCGTATCTCAAACCCGACCTAAAGCTGCCATCCCGACCTAAAGCTGCCACCTTGACGTGGTGGTCGGGCTTCAGTGCTGCAACGATCCTGCGGGCTACACTGGCTGGAACTTCGTTCCACAAGGTGCAACCATGCCAGGAAGGCCAAAGGGGAGCAGCCAGACCAAGA